GACGAACGAGTGGCTGCATGCATGGTCATTCATCACAAGACAAACGGTGCATGCCGGAATGTGTTGAGATGGGGATGAGAGTTTGCCTGCTAAAGCCAATTTAGTGCTAGCACCGCTGTATGTACATGTATTGCATGTGCGGCAACTGGAGTATAGGTGTACACAGTACACGTACATGTGCTGCACTTATTATGTTGCCCTTATTATGTTGCCAACATGTATACAGTACATACACGTGAATTGGCAAAACGATTTTGATGGTTTGAAGTAGAATTATTGTAGATACATAAATTACAATGCATAGTGTGGATGTATCTAGGCTAAAGCTTATATATATCCCCATTTATATTGCAATGTTGTGGTGGCAATACTTTACCAGGTAGGTGTAGAAATATTGTTTCATATTCATGGTTTATTTTAATAGGGCTCTTTTCAACATTCTCAGAGCTTAATTACTCTTTCCTGTATACATGTATCATGTTACTAGCTGCCCCCTTTCCTCTCTTTCTCTCTCTTTCTCTCTTTCTCTCTCTTTATCTCTCTCTCTCTCTCTCTTTCTCTCTCTGTCCCTGTTCATCTCCTTTTTAATTTTCCCAGAGATTAATTATTCCTTTACGTATCATGTATGATATTACCGCCCCCCCCCTCCTCTCTCTTCCCCCTCTTCTCTCTTCCCCCTCTTCTCTCTTCCCCCTCTCTGTCTCTCTCTCTCTCTCTCTCTCTCTCTCTCTCTCTCTCTCTCTAATAGCGAGCTTTTACACTGCAAAAGCTGGTTTCGACAGGCGTTTAGGTAAACTACAATCCAGAAGTGGATTTTTCAATTCAGTTTTTTGTTGTGTTTGTGTGTAGTTGCCTAGCAACTTCCAACGGAAAGACAAAATGTGAGAAAAATTGACAGGTTTTGCTTGCAGTGTAAATGCCGCTAGGGTTGGAATGAGAAAAGTATCTTGACTTGAGAGAGGATGGATGGATGGATGGGTGGACAGATACATACATGTAGATATAAAGATGTACCTATAGGTGAGATTGCTGTGCAGAGATAGAGAGAGTGACAGGAGGGGGAGGGAAGAGAGATAGAGAGAGTGACAGGAGGGGGAGGGAAGAGAGATAGAGAGAGTGACAGGGGAAGGGAAAAAGCATGAGAGAGACAGAGAGAGAGAGACAGAGAAAGACAGAGAAAAACAGATAGAAAGTGAGAGATGAAGAAGTTTTTGAAGATGAGGTCAACAAAATTAAATATATGTGAATATTGCATACATGTACATGTACATACTTTTATTTTATTAATTTAGCTTAAAAGAATGAAAATTATGATGAAACAAAAAAAAGATGACATATTTTTGTAGTTTTACTCATTTCGGTAAAGCCGTCTGAATCATACGACAGTTGCAAGGTTGGTAATGGGGAGGGATTATACACTGCAAATGTTTAAATCTAACCCCAAACAAATCCATAAGGATCACACCTTGGGATAAATATAGCGTTGTACTCAATTAAGTATGTCGTCTGATCAATCATAGACTCCTCACCCTCGTGTGTCAGGCGGGCTTAGCTGGCACTCGATCTGCTGCGACAGTTGGAAAACAATCGTTTGTTGGGCTTGAGCAAACGATTACCAGCACTTTAACACTTCCATATGCCGGGATAGCATTGTGTTGTGTCACTATTGGTGGAAAGGGAAAAGGGATTAATTAGCACCTTCCCCCCTCCTGTCGATGATCTCCTCCCCCTTCGGCTGTCGGGAAGCACCCCTCACTCGGTGTCACCCCTCATTCTGTGTCCTGACGAGGTTAAGAAAGAGTCGAGAGAGCATTAAACTGGAAAGCTCTGTCATCTGTCTCAGCACTGCACCAAACTCAGCCGTCATTTAAATTTCTGTGATTGGATCTAGTCTATGCATTTGAGGAGATACCATGCAAGCTTTATTATACACGTATGCGAGAAATAATAATCACACATCATCGAAAGAACTCTCCTCCCCCTTATGGCTGTCGGGAAGCATCCCTCACTCTGTGTCCTGATGTGGTAGGGAAGAGTCGAGAGAGCATTAAACTGGAAAGCTCTGTCTCAGCATTGCACCGAACTCGGCCATCATTTAAATTTGGTAGATTGGATCAAGCCTAAATATATACATACCTTGCCAGTTAGTGAGAAATAATAACCAGACATCATCAGATGAACTCTTCTCCCGTCGTGGGGGTGTAGGTAGGCAACCTGCATGGATCACCTGCCCTGAGCCGCTGAGCGTGTTGGAAATTACAAGCTCGTTACGGGATGATGAGTTTTATGCATGATGAACATACAGTATCAGTTGATTGAAATGAGATTGTAACCACCACGAATTACGTACATATGCATCAGAAGTCTGGACATCTGGTGGAATGCGCCTGCAGTACGATTTCTTTTTCCATCATTGGTATTCCTGATCTATGTCTTTGACAGACGCACTTCTCTAGAAGATTGTTAGTGGTAGCGTTATGAACTTGTGCTGGAAGGATGTCTCTATAGTTGCAATTGGTAAATTGAAATTTGAGTTGAAAGAGCAGCAGAGTATTTCAGTTCCAAGGAAAAAGAAAAATCGGGATAGAGCCATGATCGTGCCATGAACGTGCATTTTAAGGCACTTGGAAGCCATTGAACTCTGATTTGACGAGTCAAGTGGATTAGGAATCCTCCAAGTCTCTGAGTCCTTATCCAGGGTGATCCGATCAAGTCTGCAATGGTGCGTGCATTGAATTAGCCACAAGCAAAAATGAATATTTCATGGAACTTTACCCTCAGATTTTGAAGGAAAAAATAACTTTTTGCTCAATTTCTAGCCAATAGTGAGAATCGCCAGTGGAACTTCACCTTCAGCTTGTGGAATACAAATCTGTCTCAAGGACTAGTCCTTTATAGCATGATCCCCTCTTTAATAGCGTCAAGATCAACTAATCACTCTGGATATAAAACCCAAATCAAGTTGTGGATTAGGAAAGACATGCTACAAAGGACTGGACAAAGTCAGATTTCATTGTACCTCTCTGAGATTTATGAAGGATCAAGCATTAATTTTTTTCTTCAGTAATGTGGGATGTCAATGATATATTATGCCTATGTGATCTCCAAGAGGACAATAAAAGGGGGTCCTGCAGAGACGTCCTAATCGAACCGTGTTTGAATAAAGGATTGTATAAGGATTGTACATCAAGACAATGATAAACATAGAGCCATCCTTGGGATGAAACACATCGTCTCTCCGTCTAAACTTAGTACCGTCGAGGGAAAGATTGTGTTCCTTGCAAAAAGAACTTCATTCCTTGAGGCGCAGACAGAAAGAGAGGGAAAGAGAGAGACACTCCTTGAAACAAAGACAGTTGTCCCGCCTTCTTATTTCAGCTGCCGAGACAGAGAGATCGCTTCTTGAACGGAAAAAAAGTTGCAAATTTGTCACCTTGTCGTCTGTCTCGTCGACTGTTGATAAGCTCTTGGACTAGTCGTGTTATTTAGGTGCAGTTTAATCGGCAAAACAGGATCATTGCTCGTCTGCATCGATCAGCTTCGCAGAATTAGTCAAACTGTCGAGAATGTCACTAAAAGGAAATGACTATTTTCATTTTGCTTTCTAAGAATTGGATCATTGCCTGTTTATGAGGCCCTTAAAGTTAAAGAGGAAGGGAGGATGCATAGAGAATCAGATAGTTCATGAGTAGATTTGGATATATTTCCTTTTGAGATTTGAGCTGCAGTTTGATAATCAACAGACCCGAGATACAACCAACTGCTGATTTGAACCAATAGACAGCAAAAAACTAAGCACATCCCTTGCCTTTGTTGTTGAAGATCTTGGACAGTACTGCCTGTTCGCTCGTCTCAATGTCATCCCTGCAAAATTTTGTCATATGATATGTTGTCCTAAGAAGAAAAACATAATTCAACAACAAGATCAAGTTTCATTATCTTTCTGATTATGTCACTCATGACAAATTAAAATTAATCGTCCAGAGACGGAACTAAAACGGGAGAACTACAAGGAAGAGTAGTCTTAAGTGGATTGCTGTAGAAAGTAGGAGACGGTTGATGCGTGAAACAGGAGTAGTATATCGGCTCTTTTAATAATTCTCAGCCAACACCTTATGTGTCATGGAAATCCTGATTAGGTTCCACCTGTGATACTTTGTGAAACGTTGTGAAACCTGTCTCCTGGCCAAAGGGCCAGGCGAGTCACAAGCAATATCCTTTGGGCAGAATCATCACTTCTGCAGCAATCGCTGAGCTGTACCTTGACTAACTGTCTCAAGTAGCCATCTGGGTGTACAAGTCCATGATTGTGATTATACATCGCCTCAATCAGATTTTTCTTTCAAGAAGAGAAGACAGGAACTTGTCCAAGTTTTAAAACTCTTCTCAAGTAGCCATCTTGGTGTACAAGTCCATGGTACATGTAGTTCTTGGACATTGCCTCAATACTTTCTGATTTTTCTTTGTTACAAGAAGAAAAGACAGGACCTTGTCAAAGTTTTATCACTCATTGCAAGAGCGACTAGATCGGCAACCTGGTGTCCCAAGGATGCTGAAGGGTCACATGCCTTCCAGCTTTCAAGCAAAATGACTATTCCTTTTTTTAAATGCCTGGAAAATCTGGATGTTGACAGCAGACTGTCATCTCGGATCCTGCAGGTGTATCCTCAACTTGTTCGTTAAGCACTTCTGCAGAATCTATGGTGGAATGGTCTATATACTGACAAACCAAGTAGAACATACAGTTGGATTTAAATTGGATATTGCATCACTAAAGCTCCAATCTTCTTCTCTACTTTGTTCAGTTTGACTTTTATGTTTTTGGAGAGATATTATTTTTTGGATCTGATAAAGATGTCTCTTGGGAATGTTTGGGAAACTGACAAACCAAGTAGAACGTGCAGTTGGATTTAAATTGGATATTGCACCGCTAAAGCTTCAATCGTCTTCTCTACTTTGTTCAGTTTGACTTTGATGTTGTTGGAGAGATATAGTATTTTTTGGATCTGATAAAGATGTCTCTTGGGAGCGTTTGGGAAACAATGCAGTCAGTAGCATCCTTCTTCATGGAATTTGAATGGTCAGAGAATCATATGAGTAAGTGGTTTAGTCTGATTGAAAATGTTATATAATTCCCTCTGTTGATATCTGTCACTTTGTGTACATGTATCTTCTGTAATAAGTTGTCGAAAATAGATGAGGAGAAAGGAAGTATAAAGGGAAAAATGTGCATACATGTACATTAAAAATCCAAGAGAGAGAGGGAGAGAGAGAGACAGACAGACAGACAGACAGAAGGAGAGAGAGAAAGTGCATGACATTGTGTGTTTGTGTATGTGGGAGTATATGTGGGAGAGAGAGAGAGAAAGAGAGAATTAACATTTTCCTATTGTAGTTGGTTCTTTTTATATGTTATTGAAAAGTTGTACATTTTGTCTATCAAAACTTTTAGGTGCATTGTTCATCTAGCACCATTATGATAATGACACAAGCACAGCTATAGTAACTGTACAGTGTACTGAACCATTGCTGTTGCTGCTAATGATAATGCTACTGCATGCATTACTTTTCTTCAGCTCCATTTGCCACAATGCATTGCTACTCTGTACAGCTGGTACCTTCATATCAATACAGATGTGTCTTCTGTTTGGAGCCAGAAGGACATTAACTCATATTACTTTAACAGTTAGGACAGAGTAAACCCCTTTTTAGCTCTGAATAGATTAATTGTATTCCCATATATAGTCTGTTGAGAGCCAGAAGGGCATCATCTCATGTACTTTACCACAGAGTTAACGCCCTTTTGGCTATAAACAGATGGTAATTTGTCCTAATTTGTTAATATAAACCATCTTTGTAGCCACATGGACGTTAAGCGTGTGTTGACGTATATGGGTTAACATCTTCGTGGCTCCGAAAGGATGAAATATATTTCTCATTTCGTAAAATTTAAATGGCTTTATATATTTGCAAAACACTTAATGCCCTTTTCTCTCTGTTGGTTCTGGTTCTGAGTGCACACACAGATTCGTTTCACCTATTTCATTACAACATATTATTAATCAATACTTGCAGCTGTTAATTCCACCAAAAGACAAACAAAATGAGAATTTTTACCCTGATTCGGGAGCGAATGCAAGTAAACAACACATCAGCTGTAATAGCCTCGGGATATTACACACTGGGTGCGTTTACACTGCAAGAAATTTTTTTTCTCGATTATTCTCACATTCTGGCGTTTTGTTGGTAGTTGCTGATATAAGCAGCTACCAGCAAACATGATGAAAAAACGAAAATCGAAAAATCCACCTCTGGAGACTGAAGTGTGTTATTTTTTTAAGCCAGCAGAAATTTTACTGATTTTTGCAATGTTAATTAATGCCTGCTCTTAAAACATCAGTGAATGATTCCAATATTTGGTCATGTGATTTTCCTCGCTTCTGTGCAATCGCATGCAGAGCAATGACAAGTCATGCATAATTGGAATGAGCAAATTTAACACCAACGGTTTTTATGGTTAACCCATGCAATAATATTCCATAAGATTGATGATTTTCAAAATGGCGTTTGGGCTGTGTAAATGGGCCTTGTAAACATTTTGCCCGGGTCAAAAAAGCAGCAGTAATTGACAATTTTGTGATAGAGTATCAAAAAAGGGATCAATATTCAGTAAAGGATCGAAGAATCGATGTCAATTTTTCCAAAAGGGTGTATAGAATTCTATTTTATGTTGCAGTTTGAATCACCATAGCATCATAGTAATGCATACTGTAATTATGAATACAGACATAGTTTCCAAGGTATTCTATACTGATATCACCACTAGTCACCACCCATGCATATACCTTGCTCAGCAGGCATGGTACCTTTCAGACCAATTATCAGCATGTGAATAATTACTTTAACTAAATTAAGTTCTGATATGCTCATCACACCGTACCTTTCAATGCGCATGGTTTTCCAATTATCTCCCTCGTGTGAATTGAGCTACTAAAAATTCATTTTTTTAATCGCTAAATCTGAAATGCCAGCTCATCAGGTATGTCTTCATCAGCTTGAGATTACCAAATAGCCCGCTATTTCTGATTTGGGAAATAAGCCTGAAGTTACAAATTGCATCTTCATCAGCTCGAGACTTGACCTCGAAACTCAAGCTCGAGATATATTGCTCAACGTTCATGCATAGTGCGGCTCTTCCGGCTGGTGAGAACGCACCGGACAAATAGTGGGATATTATGCCAAATAGCGGGATATTTTGCAAACTAGCCCATATCCTGCTAATTGCAACTTCAGGCTGATGAAGACGCAAATTAGCTGGATAATTTGCAATCAGGATAGTTAAAATAGCGAGTTATTTGGCAATCTCAAGTTGATGAGGACAGGCCTATAGAGACGTGCTTCTGTTAATGGTATAGTACATGCATGTAGTTGAAAATATCTCATTGAATGTGGGTGATTTAATATCCTAAATGAAATTCAAGGTTGGAATATTCAAAATTATTATGAATGTTCTTTTCATTTCACAAGCTATGACATCATTCTGTGGCTAGATGAGACATGATGTACTCATTAAAACCGATCAGTCAGCAATCAGCAATAATTACATACGTGTGCTTTAGCAGTTGGCACACACCAGCTATACCCGATTTATCCCATTTTCATGTTTAAGTAAAGGTTATTTTAGAAACATTGGTGTAGACATAATTGTGGTTTTTTTTGTTTTTTTTTTGGGGGGGGGGAAGGATGTCTTTATTTATAATTGCACAAGAAACATAAGATGGTGAAAAAGAAGGATAGAGAAGGAGAGAGAGACAGACAGACAGAGAGAGAGAGGGAGAAAAATACAGCTAGGGTGCAGAGGCTGAGAAATTTTCGTTGCATACGTAATTACTGCTTGAAATATTTATGCAATCTTTGCAGTTGAACTCTAGAAATCCCTTGATTGAAAGTGTGTGATTGATACATGAGTACTGTACATTGACCTTTGTATAGTGAAGCACACAAATGCTTTAAACAGGGCCATTGCTAGAAGGCTGTGGGGTGTATTTATATCAGCCCCCCCCCCCTAAAAAATAATCATCAAAGCTAATGAATATATTGTCTGTTTGAAATTGCTATGGCTTTAATTTATAACTCATATTATTTTACAATGAGTTAAAGCCTGCAATATTCTGACAACCCCCTCCCTATATTCATAATGATCTTCATTCTTCAAACTTAATTATTGTATCGTCCGTTTAGAACGACAAGGGCGTTAAACTCATGTATCATTTTACACTGAGTATATGCCATTGTGGCTCAAGCATTTCTAATGGCCTGTTCATTGTATTATGTAGCAGACTAATCTTTAGATTGGGTGGTGTTTGGGGCAGTACTAGTTAATTCTACTTTTTTAGATGGCATAAGTAGGGAGTGGAATATTAGATACATGGGTGTGTGACTTAAGATATTGTCTGCTGAGAGTATACATTACCTCTGTATGCAAAATGACATGAACTAAATCAACTAATGCCTTTCTAGCTCCAAGTCCATAGTCAATGTGAAATGCTTGTTTCAGACATGTAGAATGGGTGTTTTGGGGGTAACTCAGTATTTAATATTCTTCTGTCTCATATTCAGAATGCACAAGTGGGGAGTGAAATCAGATACATTGGTGTGTTACTTTATATACTGTTGGCTGGGAGCCAAAAAGGCATTAACTAGTTATTAAAGTATATGAACTAACGCCCTTCTAAGTCTCAGCAGATTTATTTAGAATGCACACGTAGGGAATGGAATAAGATACATGGGTGTGTGACATTACATTAAAAAGACAAGTCTACTGAGAGCCAAAAAGGCATTAACTACACGCTCTTAGTATATGAACTAACACCCTTCTGGAACTCAGCAGATTCATTTAGAATGCACACGTAGGGAATGGAATGAGAAACCCTGGGTGTGTGGCCGGACGTAATTCATCCGCTGAGAGCAAAAAAGGCATTATAATTAGTTGCAAGAGGATATCAAGTTAACGCCCTTCTGGAACTAAGCAATTTTTTTTTAGAATGCACACGTAGGGAAGGAATCAGATTCATGGGTGTGTGACCAGACGTAATTCATCCGGCGGAGGCGTTATTAATTCTATGCAAATGATCTGACTTAATGTCTTTCTGGCCCTCAGCAGGAAATACATGTCCAGAGATAACCCAGAGCAACAAGGGCATTAGCGCTGTGTTAATTTAACACTGTTGAAGTATAGGAGCCAATGCCATTATGGCCCCAAACAGATGATATAGCAATATTTCTAATTAAGAACTGAATAGGAGGAAGAGAATGTGTTTATGAATAGGAATGAAAAATATTTTTCTAGCTCAAATGATATAATAATAAGGAAGGAATTCTATACATTTCTGATTGCGAGTAATGTAAATAATGTGCATTGGCATATTTTTATGATTTTTGAAATATATCTATATAAGTAATACGCTAAGGCTCCGCGGGGGGCGCAACGTCTCCGCCAGCCTTTGTATTCTATTGTTTTTTAATGAGATCGCCGACCGAAGTTGGTGCGGCTATCTCCTCCTGAACCCTCCCCTCGGGGTACCCGTGCCCGGTGCCATCGTCCGCGGGAGAGTCTACTCTGTGGAATTGGCTATAGTCCGCCTGAGGTCCTCCTCCGTGTCAACGTCCAGGGCGAAAACAGACGCGACATGCATAATGCAGGATATGCGTGACGACAGAGATACCTCATGGATATTCAACATTACATCCGTAGACACACGACCGATGACTATCCACTCACATTAAGTTGCGTATTAAATGCACGATAGCAGGGTCGGGATTACCCGAGTAAAGCATCTTTCTATAGGATATCCTTTGTAGTAGCTGCACAAGCAACAGAGATACACACGAAGCTTCCCGTCCACGTCCAAACTTAGAGACCTATTTCCATCATTATTGCCGCGATTTTTATATAGTTTTCGTGAATGGAGGTATGAAATCAAAGCTTATTTTGTGATTATGACGGTTAATGTATACTACATTTTGATTATCATTTTCTAAAGGAAAGTTTTCACAAGAAAACCATTGGACTGACAGTTCTGTCGCAAGCTGCCTTC